ACAAACCACGCGCCTACATGCGTCTCCTTTTTCGTAGCGCATTAGACAACATACCACCACTCTCAAAACGTGCATCCACGTGCCTTTCACTGACGCATCACGCGACACGCCTCCTTTACGCGTTCATCTCATCGCTGTCGTCGCTGATGTCACTCGTGTCTTCACTGACATCAGCCCACTCGGTTTCTACTGACGCCGTCGCACGCCTGACTGACGTCATCCGTACGCCTCTTGGGACATCAACCGATTTAGCTAGACCGGATTTGTCCATTAATTTGGCCAATTCACTAAATTTCAGCCCCATTTTCAATGTATTTGGACCGATTCGCAAGGGTTTTTTTGCATTTTGAGTTTAGTGGTCACCTCTGTTTTCCAGATTTTGTTATTTTTTGCACTGCTCTTTGTATTTTCTGTATAAATGGATTGTTCCAACCCTGCTCAACCATTTTTTGTGGTTCTTGATGCACCAATTATCTTATCTGGTCTCAAGCTATGTTTGCCTTTCTCAAAGGTCGATAATTATGGCAAGTTATTACTAGAGAACTAAAGAAACCAGTCCAAGCCACAGATGAAACTAAAGCCAAATTTCTTGACCACCTGGATGCATGGAATGGTAAAAATTATCGCATCATTACCTAGTTTCAGAACATCTCTACCACTTCAATTCATCTTCAGTTTGGGCAATTTCAAACTGATACAAACCCTACTCTTACTAAATCCATATAGGACTTTTTCAAAGATCGATATCGCACTACTAGGCTTTTCCATCGGTATCAGATTCGAACTAGGCTTCATGGTCAACGTCAGGCACTAGGTTAGTCCATTGATGATTTGTTATCATCCATGTATAGTTTATGGGATCAGCTGTCTATTTGTGAGCCTGTTTGGGTATATGACAAAGATGCCTAGTCCTTTGTTGATTATAGCAGTGAAAATCGCTTGGTAGAGTTTCTTATGGCCCTTACTCCTATTTTTGAGCCTATCCAAGCTTCTCTACTGCACTGGGATCCTGTACCCACTCTAGAACAAGCTGTGACTGAACTCTTGTGTGAAAAGACTTGTCTTGGTACTCTCAAGACCACTATTGACACTGTTCTTGTTATTCCTCACACGCAAACTCCTTTTGGCTCCTTCACTCAGATTTGTCAGTACTGTAAGAATTGAGGTCTCAGTTTTAGTCATTTTTTTCTTCATTGTCCAGTTAGGGATTGTCATAATTGCCACAAACAAAGGCTTGGTCACTTTCAACATCATTATTCACAGAAATAATCTCAAAATAACCCCTTATCTGGGAACTCAAAAGGGGGTCACTATAAACTAGGATCTCGGTATAAGCCTACCTCTCGATCTATTACCACTACCGCTGAGGATTCTTCTCCTCTTATAGACCCATCTGTTCCATATTATTCTCAAAATGATATGGAGGCCATGCTTTAATAGACTCATTCTAGTACCTCTCATAACACTACCTTATCTATTACCTCAGGTAGCTCTTCTTGGTTCTTTGATTCTGTATGTTGTAATTATATGACTTCAGATTCTACTTTTTTACTTCTTCTAGTACTTTGCCTACTATTCATACTGCTGATGGCACTCACATGTCTATTAGCCATATTGGTAGTGTCTATACCTCTACTGTGTCTTTCTCTGATACTTATCATATTCCTGCCATCCTAAATCTTATTTCTGTTGGTCAACTTTGTGAACTTGGTTTAACTGTTCTCTTTTCCTCCTCTGGTTGTCAAGTTCAGTATCTGCGAACAGGACAAACTATTGGGATAGGGCGTAAAACTGAGCATCTATTTGACCTCATCAATCTCTATCTACCGTCTTCTATACCTACTACTCAGCACGTCGCATCCACTCATTCTCTTGACCTTTGACATTCATGTTTCTTTTGGTTGCCTGCATACTTTAGTATCTAGTGGAAATTTAGGCTATATTTCTTCTAATTCTAATAATGATTGTCCATCTTGTTAACTTGCTAAACAGCCAGCTTTGTCTTTTAATACAAGTGATTCTATTTCAAATTTTTCATTTAATTTAGTTCACTCTGATGTTTGGGATCCTTCTCCCAATACCACTATAGTGGGCTTCAGATACTTTGTCATTTTTATGGATGATTATTCACAATTCACTTGGATTTGTATTTTAAAACAATGTTCTGAGCTACCTCAAACTTATTTTGATTTTGCTAAAATGATTAAAACTCAATTTGGTTATTCTATCAAAGTTTTCTGATCTAACAATGCTCAAGAATATAAAGAAACTAGTTTTTTTAAAACTTCTTCGTGAGTATGGTACACTTCTCCATTGCTCTTGTCGTCACACCTCTGAACAAAATGGTCGTGTTAAACGCAAGCATAAGCTCATTCTTGATACAGTCAAAGCTCTTCTCATCTTTTCTTTTTGTCTTGAGCGTTTTTTGGGTGAAACTACCCAAACAGTTGTTTACACTATTAACCGTATTCCATCTCCTATCATTAACAATCAAACCCCATATGAATGTCTCCCTGGTACATTTGTTTCCTACACAGAACTTCGAGTCTGTAGTTGTGCCTGTTTTGTTCCCATTCCTCTCCATAAATGCAACAAGTTACAATTGCGGTCGCGACTGTGTTGCTTCTTAGGCTATGGCATAGAACATAAAGGATTTCGATGTTGGGATCATGTCTCTCACCGTATTCATATCTCTCGCCATGTCACTTTTTGGGAACACTAAATGTTTTCTCCATCTCCAAATGCTCTTTTCCTTCCACTTCCACCATCTCATATTTCATTGATCCTTCCATTGATCTTTTCCCTAATAATGCTCCAACAGATGCTTTTCCATCCAGTGGTTCTCTAGTTATTCCTAATGATCTTGTTCTGTCTGCTGATCTTATTATGTTACAATCTCCTCATTCCTCTAGCAGTGACTCTCCCGATGCTCCCTCTATTGTCCCTCTTTCAAAATAGGTATCTAAACAACCAAGTAATTTACAAGATTACCATTGTTTTTCTACCATTCTAAGTCAACATGAACCTTATACCTATATGAAGCTTGTACTAATCCTCTTTGGCAGCAAGCAATGGCATATGAGTTATAAGCTTTACACAAGACCTATACATGGAATATGGTTGCTCTTCCTCTTGGCAAAACTCCTATTGGTTGTAAATGGGTCTATAAAATCAAAACTCATTATGATGATACAATTGAACGTTATAAAGCATGTCTTGTTGTGAAAGGTTTCACTCAAGAGTATGACATTGATTATGAGGAGACCTTTGCTCCTGTTGTTCGCCTTACATCTGTTTGCAGTTCACTTGTTGTTGCTGCCTCGCATCAATAGGGTTTATCTCAGATGGATATTAAGAATGCCTTTCTTATGGTGATCTTACTGAGGAAGTTTACATGCAACCTCCTCTAGGCTATGAGCATTCTCCATATACCGTTTGTCGCCTTCGTCGTGCTCTCTATGGCCTCAAGCAGGCTCCTCGTGCTTAGTTTTCCAAGTTTAGTGTTACCATTGCTCAATTTGGGTTGTCTTTTAGCTCCTACGATTCTGCTCTTTTTATTTAGAAGATGGCATGCGGTATTACCCTTTTACTGCTTTATGTTGATGATATGATTATTACTAGTGATGATCTTGATGGCTTTCAAGAGCTGAAACATTTCCTCAACTCTCATTTTGAGATGAAAGATCTGGGTTCCCTTAGTTACTTCCTTAGTCTTGAGATTTCTTCTGTTTCATCTCACTCAAGCCAAATATGCATCTGATCTCTTATTTCGTGTTGGTCTCATGGATAGCAAGATTGCTTCTAAACCGCTTGAGGGCACTCTCTTTTTTTATGCAACTTTGCATCGACAATTAGTAGGTAGTTTGGTCTATCTGATTATTACTCGGCCTGATCTCTTTCACGCAGTTCACATAGTCAGTTAGTTTTTGTCTGCTCCACGATCTCCTCATTATGTTGTTGTTCTTCGTATTTTTCAATATGTAAAGGGTACTTTGTTTCATGGACTTCATTACTATGCTCACACTTCCCTTGAGTTATGTGCATATTTTAATGCTGACTAGGTCGATGATCCCACTGATCGTCGCTCTACTACTGGTTATTGTTTCTTTCTTGGAAGTTCATTGATTTCTTGGTGGAGTAAGAAACAAATTGTTGTCTACAAGTCTAGTACTAAGGCAGAATATTGCGCTCTGGCTGACATCACTCAGAAACTTTTTTGGCTTTGTTGGTTACTTGCAGACATAGGTGTACTTCATTCCATTGCTACTACTCTTCATTGTGACAATCGTAATACCATTCAAATTGCTCACAATAATGTTTTTCAATCAAACACATCGAGATTGACTGTCATTTCATTTGTTAGCATGTCATTAGTGGCATTGTCCAACTCCAGTATATTTTTTCCACTACTCAAGTTGCTGATCTATTTACTAAAACCCATCTTCTTGGTCGTTTTCATGAGTTATTTTCCAAACTCTAGTTGGTCTCTTTGAAACCACCTTGAGTTTGAGGAGGATTGTTAATAAATATAATAGTAAATATATTTTGTATATGAATTATATAATAATATGTATTATTTCCATATTAAGGTTTCCTTTCTTATTCACTACTCTTCTTTGCCTATATATAATAGGCCTTCATTGTATTGTATAAACATGCACAATAATATTGAATATTCAACATAATATTTTCCTTCTCTCTTACATATTATAATAATGGCGATAAAAATCCCTTATGTATTGATTGGTTCGTAGTACATATTAATTTATAGTCAATTCATATCTGGGTTAGACTATTATAAAACTCTTCTCATGTCTGATGATTTTAAAACATTCATGATTGTGTTACCCAATTCTCGGTTTGACCGTCGTTCAATATTGTGATACTGCTACGTCAAAACCGATGCTGATTTGTTCCTATACTACTATTTAAAACTTGCTCTAGAGGCTTCATGAGTGCTAAAATTGCGACCAAGTTGATTATTCATTAGTCTAAATTGATTACTTGGGTTGAATTGCCCTAGATATGACAACTATGACAATGCAAACTTTTGAGTTTAATTGAACCAAGTGAAACTGGAAAAGGCATAAAAGAACACACCTATCATGCACAAGAAATTTGCCAATGACAGTACCCCTTTGATCAGACTTTGGAAAGTCCTCTGAATTTGGGAAACTGTATGGCCAACTTTGGACTTCAACCTTCATCTGAACATTAGTATGTAAGAAAAAAAAAGAATTTAAAAAGGCAAAAAAAAGTCATATGATTCATATCTATATTACTTGTTTGACAAATTCCTAAAAGCTTGCTTACCAAATTTTAACATTATCTACTAGTGTAAATGTCATTTTGGTATTTTTAGACCATTACTTATTTCTCTTTGTTGAAAGTCTCAGACTATTGGATCAAAACCTCTTTTGGGTGAGCTAAGTTCACACAAATGACATTATTAAATCTTATGCCAAATTTAAAATAAAGTTTAATGATGTCATTTTTTAACAGTTGTTTTGGCAAACCTTTGAGAAAGATTTTTAGAGTGGAGTTATTATAATTTTCTAATATAGCAGTCATTGTAGGAGCTTACTAAAATTGCTCTTATGTCATTGAAAAATACACACACAAATATATTTATTTCTTATCGTTGCCAAATGTTTTTACTTTTTTAACTAAAAAAAAAAAAAAAAAACTCTTCAGTAGAACCAAAAAACAGGCTTTTAAGAATTGCCAAACTTAGCCCAAATATACGAAATTTATTTATTGTATTGTCATGTCATACCTGTTCTTTGGCATTGTCCCAAAGTGAAAATGCATTATTTCTATCAGAGACAGAATTAAGATAAATAAAAACTGGTCCAAAAACTTTCTTCCATGGCTCCCCAGATCCAATTTGGAGTGACAATTCCTCTCCTCCATAATGGGCACTTACAAACATCTATTAATATCATATAGTTTGATCAATATAATTTCACTTAATTAAAAAGTTCATATATACAGATTATTGAAATGAAGAGAGGGCATTAAGGACATCATTGAAATTTACTATGGGAAATATCAATCAGTGAGGGAAATAGTCACATACAGCAAGAGTAGTTGGATTGACATGAGAGGTTAGGTCCTGTTTGGTTGGACTCCCAGTTCTGAACTCATTGCTGGGACAGATTTGCCAAAACCCAACTGGTGGATCAAAGCATATCCACCCATGAACCCCGTTATCTTTGTTCTCAATTGAATATTCATACTTGTCATCCACCTATATATATAGGAAGATCAATGAAAGAATTAAGAGTAATGTTTGTATATATGAAAGAGAAAAAATACATACAAAAAATTTGTACAGAATCATGTGATAGAATTTGAAGACCTAATAAAACAATGAATTTATCATTATCCTTTTCAATTACAGAAATATCAACATCATTTTTTGTAGAATTTTGTGTAAATTTTTTGGAAGAAACATTTTTCAAGAATTAATCGCATGATATAAGAATTGCTATGTTGACAGTGACATAACATATAGTAGTCTTGGGCCCATCATATGATCCATTTTGACGGTCTATTTTGTTCATCATTTAAATTCCTATTCATAGATCATTCATATAAAAATTTAAACTAATTTGATAATTGCAGATATAAATGAACGACAAGTATGTTATGTTTTTGTAATTGGCAATCCCATTGAACAAAACTCCATTCAGTTGTATTTTTATTTGTTGTTGTTTTTATGAGTTATGAGAGTTTAGATATGAATCTAACTCAAATTGTGCCTGTATAGAGGAGTTTGCGCTTATATTCCGTATCTTGACTTGAGTATCCTTTATTTGTCACTTCGTTTACTACGGGGATAATGCTCGAGCTGTCTTCTGTGCGCTGGAGCGGTAAAGTAGTTCATCTAGTATCTCTGCTTTCATTCTAAACTGCTAGGAAGCATGTTTTACCGCTCGAGTAGTAGATGTTGCGCTCGGGTGGTTAGCCTATATGTGAGCACCGCCTTTAGTCACACCACTCGAGCAGTAAAGTGAGCAATCTTCACTGTTCTATTTAGTATAAAGTACAATGTTTGCTATTTTTAGGGTTGAACCTATCCAGATTTTTAGAAAGCAAGAGAAAACAATGTGTTCTATATTAAATAGTGTTTATATATTATTTTTCTTGATGATTTGAAGGTGATCGATTGATCAATGAGCTTTATAGTGACTGTCATCAAGGGTTAGTTTATTCTTTCATTCACAAAAAGAGAGAGGTGTTCTTTGGTGAATTCCGGAGAACTTGGACCTGAAACTTTGGTGGATTTTGGAGTGATTCAGCGTCGTGAATTCGACATCGACGTTGTGGATTCAACGTTGGACAAAACAATTCCAAGGTGAAGACCGTAGTGGAAGAGGCATATAAGGATCGATTCAATTCAGATGTGAATTCGCTAAATAATTGAGAGTACACTTGTATAATTCTTTGTCTTCTTAGTGGATTGTTTTGTGACTTTTGGCTCGTGATTTTTTTATCACAATTGAAGACGCTCTAATTGTGATTTTTCCACATTAAAATCG